GGAGGAGTGATAGAATGATAGAAAAGAAAGCCAGGGCGTGAGGAGAAATGGAGAGAGTGAAAGAGAGACAGGTCAGAGAGAGGGAAAGAAGAGAGCGACAAGAGAGAGTAGAGAGAGCACATACAGGGGGGAGGAGAGAGATGAAAAGAGGGAGAGGAAAAAAGAGAGAGAGAAATTACATATTAGTTTTTATTGTCTTTATAATTATGGTCTCGTGATTCCTTCGTTCTTATAAAAAAAAAAAAAGACGGTGGGAGTGAAACAGCTGTGAGGAGAAAGAGAGAGAGAGAGAGAGAGAGAGAGGGAGGAGAGAGAGAGAGAGAGAGAGAGAGAGAAGAGAGAGAGAGAGAGAGAGAGAGAGAGAGAGAGAGATACCTGAGCCCGGAGCTGTGTTTAACGTGTCAGTTTTTATGGAGAGAAGAACAATTATTATAATTTTTGTTTGGTAGTAGATCGGCGTTATCACGTACAGCTGTGCCCAGGAGGAGCCCACGGAGATGGAGGAGAGAGGGAAGAGGGAAGAGGGAAGAGGGGAGAGGGTGGACTGATAGGAGAGAGAGAGAGAGAGAGAGAGAGAGAGACAGAAGAGAGAGGGAAAGAGAGAGTGAGAGTTTAAGAGACTTTGACTTTCCAATGTTTTGTTCGATCATTTTAGCAACATGAAGAGAGTTGATGACAGAGAGAGAGAAAGATAAAGAGGGAGAGAGGGACAGAGGGAAAGTGAAGAAAGAGAGAGAGCGAAAGAAGAGAAGAGGGAGGGAGAGAAGAGAGGGAGAAGGGTGACAAAAGTAAATACTAGAGAAGAGAGGCAAGAGAGATAAAGTGAATGGGAAAATTTGACGAAATGAAGAAAGAACATGAGGAGAAAGGGGGGGAAGAGAGGGAGAGAAAGAAGGAGGGAGGGAGGGTGGGAAAGGAGAGCAAGAAAAGGGGGGGAGGAGGAGGTTGGAAAAGAAGGGAAAGGAGAAGGGGGAGAGGAGGGTGGGAAAGAAGAGAGAGAGAGAGAGGGAGAGGAGGGAAAAAGGGAGAGGAGGGAGGGAGAGAGGGGTGGGAAAGGAGAGGGAGAGAAAGGGAGAGTGGGTGGGAAAGAGGGGAGAGAGAGAAGAGGGAGGGTGGAAAAAAGGGAGAGAGAGAGGGAAAGAGAGAGGGGGAGGGTGGTGGGTGGGGAAAGAGAGAGGGAGAGAGAAAGGAGAGTGGGAGAGGGGGAGAGAGAGGGGGAGAGGAGGGAGGGGTGGGAAAAGAGAGAAGATGGAGGGAGGGAGGGTGGGAAAGAGAGGGAGACAGAGAAGGAGGAGGGAGGGAGGGAGGGAGGAGGGAGGGTGGAAAGGAGAGCAAGAAAAGGGGGGAGAGGGAGGGAGGGTTGGAAAAGAAAGGGAAAGGAGAGAGGGGAGAGGAGGGTGGGAAAAGAAAGAGAGAGAGAGGGAGGGAGAGAGAGGGGTGGGAAAGGGAGGGAGGGTGGGAAAAGAGAGGGAGAGAGAGAGAAAGAGGAGAGGTGGGAAAAAGAGAGAGAGAGGAGAGAGAGAGAGAGAGAAGGGAGAGTGGGGAAGAGACGGGAGAGAGAGGGGGAGATGGAGGGAGGGTGGGGAAAAGAGAGGAAGAGAGGAAAGGATGTAGAGAGGAAAAGAGAGAGAGGGAAGGAGAGAAGAGAGGGAGAAGAGTGACAGAACTAAACGCGAGAGAAGTGGGGCAAGAGAAACAAAGCAAATGAGACAATTAGAGAAAATGGTGAAAGAACGTAGGGAGACAGAGAAAGAGAGAAAGAGGAGGAGGAGGAGGAGGCGGGTTGATGGAGAGATAGAGAGGGCGAGAACAGAGGGAAGAGTGACAAAAACGCGCCAGAAGAACCGAAAAACCATGAAACAAACAGATGCCAAATGAGAGAGTCGTCAGCGGGTTGGACTGGCACCACAGAGCTGTCTCATGACGGGCACATTACACTGCTCACAACTGGCATCATCTGGGCATTATCCCGCTGATGGACCCGACACAAATCATACACACAAACACACACACACACACACACACACATCAGAACACACACATCAGGTACAGGTGTTGGGTTTGATGCTTCTTGGAGACATTACAGTGACTTACATTCATTTCCTGGAGACTGATTCTATCTTTAACCACAGTCAGGAGTCGCCTAACCTATTTTAACTCTCAGGTTACGTTCAGACTGCAGGGCTTAATTTTTTTGTGAAATCCGATGTTTTCGCGAGGTCGTTCACATTTCCAATTAATCGTATGTGACTCCAGTGTGAACTTTAAAAGGCCCGAAAAGTGTCCCGCATGCGCACTGGAGACACGAAGACGTCAACCGCAGCGAGCGTCTCTGTGTTTACTGTTCAAACATGGACGCGAGCATCGAGCACCTGGAGATTTTAAAGTTCCTCTCGTACCGGAGCCAGAACATGAACAACTTACTTGTTTTAAGGAGGAGATTGAGAAGGAGAAGGACGAGGTTTTTTGGCCGTGGTGTTTTGTGGGACAGTCGATTGAAAGGAACGTGTGGATGTGGAGACGGAGCCAAGAGTGGTGAGTGGTGATGTGCTTCGCTTCAGTGACATGGAGTTCATTAACAATTTTCCCCTACTTCAGCGCAGAATAGTGACGTTTGTGGCTTGTTGATAACGTGTAGGTTGGATGAATGCACTTTGGCCGTTCACACTGAAGTCGCATGTCAAAAGATCAGATATGTATCGGTTTCAGGAGCACATATCCAAGTGTCCTGGGTCACATTTGAAAAAATCTGATCTGTTTCGTTCAGACTGTCATTAAAAGATCAGATACAGGAACATAGAAGCCAAAAAATCGGATTTGGGTCACTTCAGGCTGCAGTCTGAACGCAGCCTTTGACTGTTTATTTTATTTTGACTTGTACATTTACATTTATATATTTATGCCTTATTTGACTAGCCAGGCCAGCGCCACCTAGTGCCTCTTCTCAGTTTCATTTCTCTCCAGCGACTAGGTCAGGAATCGGAATACTCTAGACGGTTTGCAAGACACCGGCCAATCAGTGAAGAGCTGTGAAGCCATGACGTCAAACTCAAGCGTGTTACTTTTGTGGTACAGCACAACGGTAAACAAAGCGTCGAGATGGATGTAGACAAAGACAGACATTCTGTGTTGGCAACGATTTCCGAGATCGAGGATTTAAAGCTGTAACAAAGAGAATGTTTGGTGAATTTTATCAAGGGGAAAGACGTTATTGCCCTTCTTCCTAGAGGATTTGGCGCATTACATACGTCATGACCAAATAACAGCGATTGGTTAAACAAAAAAAAGTACCCGCCTATCGTTGAGCGAATGAATCCTAATGCTGTGAGGTCAGACGGTTTCCACAATGTAAAACCGGTTGATGAATCAGGCTATTATTTGACACCCGTCTCTTGTTACCTTTTTTGCTACTTATATAGAATTTATTATTACCATTTGTATTTTTACTTTTTGTTATTATATTGTGACGTATGAGTTACTGTGTCCAAAGAATTTCCCTTGTGGATCAATAAAATTTGCCTAAGTCTAAGTCTGCCGCTATTATCCTATGATCATGAGCTTTGGGTAACAATCATACAGACATGTCACAACAGCCTCCCTGCTCAGGCTACGTTTATATGACGACGGTCTGAACAGAAGACGCAAAAGTGGCGTTGCATTTTCACTTTTTATTCCACGTTTAGGCAAGCGTTTACGGGAGGAAATCATACAGTGATGCAAAAGTGTGTGGAATTCAAATGGGTATGCGTTCCAGGTTTCTGTGTACCGTATGTATGTGATGTAAACACGTACGCGACATGAGCGGATCTGACCAGAGTTTTGCGTCTTGGGCAGTGTAGACGGAAACACTACAGAGGAGCGTATTCAGCTTTTCCACTCTGGACGGTGGTTTCAGATTTTTTCGTTTTTAAGCCCCAAAAATGCTGTCACCATCTAAATGAAAGGCACTTCAGATAAAATATTTTGACGTTTTTACCCACAATCGTTCTCGTGCAAACAGACCCTCGGACTACTGCCCCTGTGACCCGGCACCAGATAAAGCAGAAGAAAGTGAATGGAAGGAACTCATATCTGAACTTTAAACCATGACGTAGATCTAAGGATTTAAGACAAAACTACTAGCAGTGTGCAAAAATATTGAAATATCGTATCATTTAATGTGATGATACAGTAATGATATCGTGGGCTGCTGTATCGATATATATCACCAAGAGTATTTTTTGGTATATTTTACTAAATTATTTTGTTACAGAGCTACAGTTTTGTTGCTTGTTTAGAGAAAGGAAACTTGTTTATGCAACACATTTGACATTTTCACTGTTTTGATGATTAAAATGTTTGTGTTTCATATGAACTTTGCCCAAGAAGTGGTTTAACAAAGACTTTTAGTATCACAGACTTTATTTGTTATTGAACCGTATCAAATCGATTTGAAATATATCGTATAAAATCAAAAGTGCACTGTATCGAGATATGTATTGTATCATGGCCTATATAACGAGGTGTGTATTGTATCAGCAACTTCTTAATGATACCCAACCCTACCAGATTTTTGTTTTTGGATGACCTGACGAAGATCCACTGATCGAAACGTCATTTATTAAAAGCAGTTTGGGAGTAAGTGTGCAGGCTTCGTCTCACTTTCTATGTCCACTGTAGTAGCCCAACACCAGCGTATACCTACAACTTTTATGTTACCAGATTTTTGTCCATGATGTGAGTGTGAGCACAGATTTTAGTTTCCATCATTGATAAATACACTTCCATGAGGACACAGGTACAAGAGTCAGAGGAGAACTCTGTGTGCATGTACTGGAGAATTCGATGTTTGTCATTAAAATGGCAAATGACAAACAATCTATAGATTTACTTTAGACTTATTTGTTGGTTTAGGAGCTGACAGATTGACGGGTGCGGGCTTAACCCACTGTGCCATGATGATCTCCTCCTAAAACCCGATATGAAGAAGAAAGACAAACACAAGAAAAACACAAACGTACCAGCTCAGCCTGTAGTTTGAGAATGAGCTCGTCCTTCTCTCTCAGCTGCTGCAGTAGGGCCTCTTCTCTGCCCGAGTCCTGAACACAAACACAAAAACATCTAAGGTTACACACAACACTCTACGCTTCAGGTACCTTTATTTACCTCCCGTAGGCAGAACTGGTTTAAGAGTGGGTGACACTGACAAAAATGGGTGCTCCAGACGACAATACCCTATTCATGTGCTAAATCTGCATGTAAAGTATCACACAAAAGTTAACGGAGAGTAAAAATTAAATCAAAAGTGCAGAGAAATCACTTAAGTCCCTTTTTAATGGATCATTTAATGGTATTGATACCTGCTCAAATGAGTATCAAGTTTTGATGCTAGTTTTAGTATCAATTAGTATCTGATTTTTGATATCAAATCAAATCAAACTTTATTTATAAAGCACTTTTCATACAAAATGCAACACAAAGTGCTTTACAGTGATTAAAAACAGTCCCGCATTTCCAACCACCCAACCACCCACCCACCAACCCAACCCCCACACCCCCAACCCCACATAGTCAAACAACCCAAACACACACACTCACATACACACAAACATGCACACACACACACACACTCACACACACTCACATGCTAAAATACATAACCGGACACAATAAAATGTGAGGCTGAATACAGGCGAACCAGTTGAGAAAGCACCATCAGAGGAGCCGTCTGCACCGGGAGCAGAGAGACGTCCACCACCACCAGGAACCACCACAGGAGCCAGGGGAGAGATGAAGCCCAGGCACCTGAGGCCCAAGCACCATCCCTCCACCAGGAGCCCACATGACAGACCCAGCAGCCACAGCTGACCTCCACTCCCGATGCAGAGGCTCCTACAGAGGAAACACTGGAAATCCTAAAAAATATGCCTAAAATAAATAAATATAATAAAATGTGTACAATAAAAACAAGTAAAAGTATAAGATTTCAATCAAAAGCTATAAGCTAAAAAGGTGGGTCTTGAGCCTGCTCTTAAAAACATGAACGTTCTCTGCAGCCCTGAGCTCCTCCGGCAGACAGTTCTATAGACGGGGGCCATAGTGCTGAAAAGACGCCTCTCCGTGAGTGTGTGTCTTGACTTTGTGAATGACCAGGAGCTGCTGCCGGAGGAGCGCAGGGTCCGCGAGGGTTCGTAAGGTAAAAGCAGTTCTGAAAGATAAGAAGGCCCAAGACCATTAAGACATTTAAAAACCAGTAAAAGAACTTTAAAATCGATCCTGAAACTCACAGGGAGCCAATGCAGTGATTTTAAAACCGGTGCTGAATTTTGTAATAATTGTAAACCCGAAATACTCTTTTTGGGAAGACCAGAGAGCAGGGCATTACAGTAGTCTATTCGACTGGTGATAAAAGCATGCATCAGCGTCTCTGTGTTGGCCAGAGAGAGAATGGGGCGGACTCTGGCTATGTTTTTTAGGTGATAAAAAACAATTTTTGTGATGTTCTTAATGTGTGGGATAAAAGTCAGCTCAGAGTCAATAATGACGCCCAGGTTTTTCACCTGAGGAGATGGGTTAAAAGACTGTGTTTGTAGTTTGGGTAAAAGCTTTCTCTCTCTGGGCCTCAGGACCAATGACTAAAACCTCAGTTTTGTCCTGGTTAAGCTGGAGGAAGTTTTCTGCCATCCAGGACTTAATTTCTAGAATGTAGTTAAAAAGGGCATCCATTGGTATATACATGATATACATTGTATGTGTAACATGGAGGATCTGCCACCTGCTCCATGGAGATATTGTCGGTATGCCTTGATTATTGCACAATATTAAAATTAAGTTGAGAGTCACAGTGGAGGCAGGTTAATGGTCAGATCTATGGAGAAGCAAGCCTGCACATGACAAAACCCACAATGTCGGCGAAACGTTCTGCACCGACAAAGGCTCCTGCGGTCGCACCCAAAAGGAAAAGGAAGATGCAAACCATCGCACAAAAAGTTGGACTTTTGGACACGCTGAAGGAAGGGAGAAGTTACGTGTACGAGCAAACAGCTGCTGAAACGGGCGGGTTTTAACGTTCTGGAATTTTAGGGGCGGTTAGTGATTACACGCGAGTGGGTCAGGACTAAACCAGGACTAATCTTGGACTTAAGAAAGAGAACACCGAAGCAGGGTGTCCGCAAAGCGCGATTGGACGACGGCCGCGTAAACCTTCGTGATTTGCGGAGCTGAGCCAGTCCTTTCTCCTGCGGTCACCTCCAAGCCTGTCCCGACAGCGAGTCCTGTTTCAGTTCTGGTTTAGTCCTGGTTTAGTCCTGTTTTAGTCCCATTTTTGTCCTAGTTCAGTCCTGGTTTAGTCCTCCTGTTTCAGTCCTGGAATCAGCCCTAGGTTAGTCCTGGCTTAGTCCTGGTTTAGTCTTGGTTCGGTCCGTGGCATATGCAGCGCAAAAGTTTGATATAATCTGGTGTGGTCCTGTCCTGCGCGAGTGCAGGTCTCCAAAAATGGACCCGTGCAGGACTCTGGGGCTCCATTACGGAATAAATGAATCTCCGGTTTGTCACATAAAGAACAAAAATAACAAAAGGACGACAGCAGCAATAAGTTTTAAGAAGGATTAAAAAAAGGGTTGTAACTGTCCTGTCTGAGAAAAGTGTATAAAGTGTGTGGTGAGGGGTTTTACAGCCTTAAAACAGATAGAATAAGTGTAAAATATAAAGCTGACTACTTCACGGATTATTTTTAGAAAGCAACCCCCGCGATAAACGAGGGACCACTGTATACGTGCGCCGTGACGAAACCGGGATCCTCAAAAACCCGGGGACGTATACGCACTCGCTATCTCCATGGCGACAGTACACTTTTAAGCTATAGGCAGTCTGCTACGCCCAGATATCCCCAACCCTCCTCTAATTCCACATACCTTCAAAACAACCATCCCGATATTACCTTGAAGAGACGTTATATCACCCGCCGTTCCCAAGACAACAGTGGACATTTAGTGATTTATTTAAGGCTTCATATTCCGGCAAAAGCAATACATCTAACCCAAAAGGACAATGGCGCAGGATGGCTGTTTGGCAGAGCCGTTTCCATAAATGTTTACGTGTGTTCCATGTGCTTTTACGAGCGGGTCTGTTACTGCGTGTTCGTGTGGGGGGGCTAATAAAGTTGTCATATGGGGCAGACGAGGCTCTCCTCTCCTCTCTGCGAGCAGTGATAAACTTGTAGTGTCCTTTAACGCCAGCCTCGCGCACGTACCACTTTAATATGACCTTGCGATTTTACGGATTTTACGGCGGAAACAAGACGGAAAGAGCCGCGAGACGAGCAACACGCGGAATTTCAATTATCGTATTATATGAACATGCTAAAGCCCTATTCGCGCAGGATTAGCTCTCTTATAGGGTCCCCCCGGTAAATTCATCTGTGTTCCTGATCCTGCGCGAATCGTCCATGTCTGTAAAAATGTCGGTGAAAACTTTCCTGAATTGTACGTCCTGTAATTCTGCAAAAACTCAAGAGATCCTCAGGAGATTCTAGTCCTGTGTGAACGATCATGTCTGTAAAATGTCCTGTTTTTTGATGTACATTGAAGCTAATAGTGATTGAAAATGTCTCTACAACCCATTTTAGGTAAAAATATAAACAAAACTATTGTATTTTTCGGACTATAAGTCGCTCCAGAGTATAAGTCACACCAGCCAAAAAATGCGTAATGAAGAAGAAAAAACATAAGTTGTACCAGACTATAAGTCCCACTTTTTGGGGGAAATTTATTTTATAAAATCAGAGACCAGGAACCAACATTTCATCTCGAAAGACAAGTCAGAATAAAAACTAAAGAACAGAAAGCAACAGACTGTTAATGTCACATACGAACAGTTCTTCATATAATGTATTTCGGACTATAAGTCGCTCCGGAGTATAAGTCACACCAGCCCAAAAATGATTGATGAAGAAGAAAAAACATATACCATATTTTCTGGGCTATTAGACGCACTCCACTCTAACCGCATCAAAAACGGCCGCGCGTTCCGCAATCCAGAGCACCCTATACACGAATCCACTCAGGTGTCCCAGCACGACTTCAGTAAACTACAAAGTCATACCACCCGCAGCGCACACAAACACACACACAAGGAATGGAACGGAGGAACGAACCGAAAAAGCGAGTGCAATGTGCCGCTTCTAGACACAACTGAACAACTGAGTCACTGCGAACACGCCGACAATCCGTTGGTCCCAGACAGCACCCTCCCTACACGCCACAACTGAACAAAGCCCAGAGTCACCGTGAACACCACAAACAAAGTCCCACTGACCCATCCAACTGTTGTGTTTCATTTAAAGTCCGGTGTGGTTTATTTGTGAAAAAAGTTCAAAAATAGACCATTTAATGACAGTGCGCCTTATAATTCAGAGCAACTAATAGCTAGGAAAAATACGATATAAGTCGCACTTTTTGGGAGAAGCAACAGGCTGTTAACGTCACATATGAACAGTTCTTCAGATAACTGTAGCATAAACAACAGAACAGAACAAGTTTAACAAACTCTCCATCTCACTCCAAATCACTAAATCTATTCAATTCTTCATCCTCAGTGTCACTTCTGTGGGATAAACCATAGATCCATGATGTAAACAGAGCGCCGCTTCCTCTTCTGTGTAGCTGTCGTCAGACTCAGCATCAGTTCCAGTTAGAATTATTCCGGCCTTTCTGAATCTCGACAGGATGGTTTCGGTGTCACTGAAGTCCAGGTTTTGTCCATCCATCCAGTGACTTCCAGGAAAGTTACATGGCGCACTCTCTCGGTGTCACAAGTTTCTCGCTCACTCCCAAACTTTCTTTCTGCTGCTCGATAAGTTTGTTAAAATTTTACATTTTCAGTGATATAGACGTAATGTTGCGATCGACTGACATGATACAGACAGGACAGAGGCTCTTTCTGCAGGAGACATGCGCAGTAGAGTGACGTGACAGTGGTACAGGAGGAACAGGAGCAGTAGATACTGACACACAAGACTAGAGCGTCCTCTTAAGGGAGTCAGTATGAACATTTTTAATATATAAATCGCACCAGAGTATAGGCGAGTTTCATTGTTGAC